AGTGGTCCTCCTGCCTTAGGCTCCAGAGTCCTGGGATTATGGGCATGTGCCACCAACCCAGCCTTACATACTATTTTTATACTGCAAAGGCCCACAGTCATTTTTTCTTGGTGGAAACTTGCAAATTAGACTCCACTGCAACAATCCAGGGAAAAACTGCTAAGAAATTTACACAGATGTTTGCTTACTTATATCAACAGTTGTTATTTACAAACTTTTGCCCAGAAATCACTGATAAATCTCAAAAGCAAAAAATTACTTGATCTTCTATGATAGCATTTTTTATTTGTTAAATGCGATATGTCTAATGCCGGACTCTAGACACTAGGAAGTGACTAGACTGACTTGGCCATTTTTATCTATTTGTTTTAGTTTTAAATAAAGCAAAAAGGGAATAGCTTAGGGGAAACATCACTTATATTCCCAGTAGAAAGTGTAGAGGTAGCTCAGTCTAGGTTTTATAAATTCAAGGAATAATATTAACAATAAGAACTTTGTCATCACCTTTAGGTGAAATTGAAGTTCAGTTCTGTCATGCACAACAATGGATAAATTATCTAGCCTATTAATTTTTAAACTCATCGCTGGAAGCGCTAACAATAGTTATCTATGTTGCTGGATAATTAAGTCAAATTACACAGAATATGAAATACTCTTAGGTCTGAATATGGCACTTCATGTATAGACCATAAATATTAGCAAATGTTCATAAGTTATAATGGGACTAATGGTAACAATAACTTTAATTGGATTTTTGAGGCTAAAAATTTATTGCTTTCAGAATAGAAATCACTAAATGTACTTACTTGATGAGCATTGATAATTTGTTGTTTATATGAAGACACTTTTATTAGAAAATATTGTGTATATTATCTAATAATAGTAGTCAAAACATTCTTTCCTTAAAAGGTGATTATTTTAAGAAATTAAAATGATCAAGTTATAGTTTAATAATATGTAAATAGGACCTTCTACTTTTTAACATGTAGGAAATGAATTAGTCTCACAAAGGCAAGACGGTGCTTTGCATTATAGTGACTGTCCCTGTGCTATTTCTTATAGGTAGATTGAAACAAAAATACAATGTTATTTGGCACTGTGATTCAAGTGTTGGTGACGTCTCTGGGTGGAGTCATGGCGTGGAGGACGTTAATTATAGAAAGGGAGCTCTTGGGCCAGGGAGATAGCTCAATAAAATAAGCACTTGCTTGGGAAGCACAAGGTTCTGAGTTCAATCTCCAGTAGAAGGGACGGCCCTTAGAGGCAGAATCTATCAGAACGACCCTAAAGAAAAGTTAAGGCATCCCAGAGCTGGGAGAAGAACCAGACAACACTGGTAAAATGATGGTGAAATTGTGGGAACCTAATCTAGTCAGAGGCCACGTGCTGACCCACAGGGATGCAGAAAACCAGCAGGTGGCCACATGCTGGTGACTCTCATGATCTGACCATTACCCTGGAAACAGCATCATTCTGAGCACAAAAGAAATATGACAGTTTGAGTGACAAAGTTTGGTAGAACTTCGGTACAGTGTTTGCACAAAGACAGGCATGACGTTTATGGAAATCAGAAAATGTTATAGAAAAGCTTGACTTTCTACTGAGGGGTAAATATAAAAGAAATAGAAACAAAAACTAACACCAGGAAAATACAGCAAGTTCATGATTTTTGAGAAATGTTTTAAATAAAGAAAACTAAAAAATGCCAAGGGCTAGAGATCATGGCAAAGAGGCCCCGAATTTAGAGATGCATCAGGTGTGGGAATGCCCGAGAATGGCAAACTGAGCCGAGAGGAGCTTAAATTAGGGAGGCTTCCTGGACAGCACAGGGCAGGGCTGAGTACAGTGCAAAAGGCCCTCAGGGGGGCTCTCCCCAGGGAGGAAGGACTCATCTATCTCTTCTTATGTATGAAGATCTGGTAAGGAGAACGGAGGACCATGTATCAGCGTGTGTGTGTTCAAACAACAGCATTTCACATCTGGCTGACTAATCACTTGTGTCTAGGACACTTGCTAAAGAGGAAAGAAAGAACGTGAGACAGAGCAGGGAGACAGCGAGAGAGACTGGGTAAGGGGTGGCACACGCCACATAGATCACAGAGCAGCACTTGTAGTTTTAAGAGCTGAGGCCGAGCCCGACCCAGGCAGCCTTGCGTGTGGTGCTTGGCTGGTCAGGACGTCTGCCACAACGTGCACCGTGTCTCACAGCTGCCTCTCCGCTTGAACTGCGCTGATTTCGTGCTCTTCGTATGTGGAACAGTCACAGACATAGAGATAGCTTTGATCTTCATCTTCTAGGTTTTGTTATTAAAATGATAAAATGTTGAGCCCTTAGAAAACAAGTGTCTATGAGGAGAAATCCGTGATTCTAATATGCAAGGATGTAACTGATGTCTATAGTTTTAGGGGGCCGCAATCCACACTTAGTGCATCATATCTTTGAATATAACAAAAAAGTATGATTTTCAAAGAAGAGTCACATAGATTTGGGAACTTACTAATAATGCAAAAAATAAATATATATTCCTTAAGGTGAGAAAGGAGAAGCAACAACAGGAAGGATACTACATAAAACTTGAAAATAGAAACTTAAAAATCATTTAAAATTTAAGTCACTATAATTACCTTTCATCTTTACTTTCCCCTCTTATTGACATTTTAGCTATGTCTGCGATGACAAGCCCCTTTGTGTGTTCTGCATTCTGTTCTAACATCAACCCTTCAAAAGAAGTGGGCAAAATTCAATATTAAACTATACGTATACAATGGCTCCAATCTATGAGCCTCTGCACCTTTTTCTCCCAGAAGTACAAAGTTGTCTTATACAATGTGGAGAAAATAAATATGAAAGCTGATTTCCTGAGGCTGGGGAGATAGCTCGGCTGTCTAACAGCCTGCCTGGCAAGCACAAGGACTTGAGTTTGATCCCCAGTTCTGCATGACATGCCAGCCCCCGAGTCCAGACGTGGTGGCACACACCTGTCATCCCAGCACTGGGGAAGCTGAGACTGGAGGATCACTAAGGATCCAAGCTGCATAGTGAGACCCTGTTCCAGATAGATAGATAGATATAAAATGATTAAAAAAAGTGGATTTCTTTTATTACCAGCAAACATCCTTGCAAGGACTCTTGTCTGAAGAGGCATAGGAAAATGCAACACGGGATGTGGGCATCAATGATTTGCGGGGTTTGGTAGCCACAGAAAGAGCGAGTTGCTCTTCCTGAAGTCACTAAAGCAGGTTAATAAACCAAGTGGCACGAAGAAACCAATCGCCTTGGCACTGTTGCCCACCACGTTTGTCAGCCTTGTCTGCAGCACAGGAGAACTGCAGGATTCTCCCAGACCTGCTGGAGAATATGTCAGGATAATGCGAGGAACCAAGACCGCTGAGAGCAGAGCAAGCGGGCTTGGATTGCTAAGAGAGTGTGATAGAATATGTCAGCGGATGCTGACCAATAGCCCTTTTTCTTAACCTTCAGCCAAGTTTTTAACAAGTCGTTCTTTGGGAAGGCAAAACTTAGGTACTCTGTTTTGTAGATCAAGTGAAATGCGCTTCAGACCTGTACAAATAACTGTACTGGTCAATGTTTCTCAGCTGGCTACCATAGCATCTCCCTTCTGCTCTTCCCTAACGAGATATTGAAAGTTTTAATTAATAATTCTTACTATAAAACCTCTAGAGTGTGTCAGATGTGGTTATTTAACTGAGACAAATAAAGGTAAAGTATGTATACTTATATGCATAATTATATTATTCACTCAAACTTCCTCCTGGAAGCAATAAACAAATGATTTAGCATTACAATATTCTTCTTTTAGCTTAGAATAGCTTTTAAAAATGTTCATTTTTTATATATATATATGTATATATATATATGTTTTAAAATTCTCAACACTGAAGAAAATAGTGCTAATAAACACAGTAGTTTATATAATTCTGCTATGATAAAGAAAAGGTAATTGTATGTTAACATTGCTACTTACAGTGAATAATATTTTGATAAACATAACTAGAATGGAAGATGGTTTGAAAAACAAAACAAAAAAAAAAGATTTGAAAGTCAGGTTTAAGAAAACCTAAAAGCAAAACTATGAAAGCAATTATTTTGTGATGAAAGTATAATATTCTAAATAAAAATTTTGATATTGTTTGCTGGTTAATGTCAGTGTATACAATAAAAAATTTCATAATTCCCTTATTTGGTCAAATATTCTGAGAAAAGGGCCAAAACATGGTTCAACTATTACTTTCATGACCATAATTTTAAATAGTAAGTATGCACATTTTAAGAAAATTATTATGCTATGTATTTGAATTGAAATAACAAAAATAAATGTTAGTCTGCAAAGATTAATTTAACAAAATTCCTAATGCTTTAAACTCTAAGTTAAAATGTTTCATTTAAATAAAAATAAACAGCACTGTGCTACTGACTTTAATTATGAATAGATTACAAAAGAAAGGCAAAGTATGTTTGTCATTGGTACAAAAATTAGCATAGTTTCATTACTGAAATAGAGTCCACGCCAGGATCAGGAAAACGGCATTATGCAAATGAAATCAAATTTGTTGTTCAATTTTGTTCATGGAATTTTTAGTATACTTAATGACGTGCCTTTAAAATTTTCACAGTAATCTCAATAATTATCTGGGCAGAAAAAACAAATCAAACCCCAAAAAGCCATCCAGTGAGTAATAGAATTCCCACGGCACAGTGTTTGCATCTTGTAATTTGTTCTTCAGGCCTCTGTGGCCTCAGCTAACGATAGGTGAAGGAAACACAAAATATACTTTAGAACTAAAGTTTTATGTACAATTCTCATTACAGACAGCAGAGGGCTTCTGCATGTTGACCTCCTTCCTGGGTCATTTGCACGATGATGACAAACGGTGACATTCACAAAATGCAGAGCTCAGCTTTCCAAGCCTGAAACCTGATTTGTGTTAACATTCAGTGAAACACGTTCTGAGACATATAAATGATATTTATTATATAAACGTGACCAAGATGAAGTTAAACTTAATTTATCTAAGCAGAAATGAAGGTTTATTAAGGGCACTACAGTTTTGATTCTTTCAAATTTGTCTTTTTTTTCAGGCATGATCCAAAAATAAAAGTCTTTAAAATTTTATAATAAATGAATGTGGCATTGTTAAATGAGATTAAGCAATTTCTTTAATGAAAGAGAAAATTAAACAAAGAAAGCAATTAATACAGAGGAGGCATTCTTCCCTTGTTATCTCTCAGGTCTTGTCACATAACTTGTTCTGAGTGGACTCATTGCAGTCCAGCGCTTCCTACTCTGGAGGGTTAAAGAAAGAAGTGTGCATGTATTTTAGAAAAAAACAGACATTCATGAGTTTATATTAAATGTCAAGAAAGATGAAATTTCAGGGGGGCCTGCCCCTTAGCCAGTTCTTTAAGTGCCTGCTTCAACAAAGCAGTCAGGCTCAGGTTGCTGTGTTCGATCACTCACAACCCAAGCCAGCCAAACCTGCCCTGAAGGAATTCGGAGCAAAAAAAAAAAAAGAAAGAAAGATAAATTTTCAAAATCTTTTTCTGAATTGTTTGAGTAAAAGGCTAATATATGACCAGGATAGTGTGAGGTCCTATTTAATTTGCATCACACTGTAAATTTCATATTCGCTATAACCTTTTCTTCATAATTATTAAGGTGCAAACATTAAAACATACAACAGTTCAGCCTTTACATTGTTGTCCTCTGATAGGCTAGAAAACAGACTACCTTTATGCTTAGTCCAAATCCTCCTACAGTTTGTCTTCGGATGGTCACCGTCCTTTCCTGAAAGACAAGAGTTGTAAGAGTGGTTAGTGTTTCTTAATACTAGAGTTATGCACCAAAATCCTTGGTTTTGTTATTGCTGAGGGTATGGGAGAGAAGTTTTTGACAGCATGGAAGCCCTAAATCTCATAATTAATAACGTGCTTTAATATTTCAAATCAAATTTTTAAAAAAGTATTTGTCAAAAATAAAAAGAAACATATTGTCATTAAACTATTAAACTCTCAAAAGCTAGTTATTGTCAATGATATTTTGGGACGTAGTAGGGAATAGTCATTTTTGCCCTTCCCTTTTTCACATTTTCTGTGCTTACTGCCTGAGGAATAGCAGGTTCTGGGTGATATGACAGAAGTTCAGTGGTAATACCTCTTGATGCTGATGCACCACCAAGTCCCAGTATTGGCTACTGAAAAACAGCCACAAGCCTGCTATGTCGCAGCAAATGAAAGCCTCACTTCATGTCTGAGATGGAAGTAATGAGTAACCAGCCTCAAACTTTTTCATTTCATGTTTGGACAAGGAAGGAATTACAGGACTACCAAATAATTGATAACGGAGTTACTGATTTTCAAAAACAGTTCTAGTTACTCTTCTACAAAGGCAGCAATAATTCAGTGGGTGGTTTGTGAAGCTTTAAAAAAAGTTACAAACGCACAAAGAGTCACTGTTGGACAAATCTACTATTTTTCATTAGATACTCAATAATCACTCTGATTTGATACCATAATCTCCACATGACACAGAGAGGCTGAAACCTATGATCTATAACCCACTCCGTTTTATTTTTTAATCTATAGTTAATCTTCTTATATTTGTCCCAACCCATAGACACGTGAAACACCACCCTTCTCCTCCTGAATTCAGGATAGATTCTTGTTATCTGGTCTCTGTATTTCCAAAACACTGAAATTATTTGGCAGGGTCACTCATTTTTAAATATTAAATACTGTTCTCATTCTGATAGATGAAGTTTTCCCTCGCTTCCTCCTTCTACTGACACTCTACCATATGGGGGGGAAATTTGAAAAATAGGTCCTTTCTCTTGACAGAACAAAAGCTCATCGTTTTGGCAAGGTGGAAGCTTTCTCTTTTTCAGGCCTCTTATCATGGCTAGGCAAATTACTTTTGAAAAACTGCCCATTACAACAAGGTAAAGTTCTTGGAGTTGGTGAATAATTTCCTTTATTCTTGTCTTCAAGGAACGAATTTCTCTTTCTCAGCACAATAATTGCAGTATTGAGTATGTTCATTTTGCATGTTTTTCCTCTTTTCCAATTTCAGTCAAATATTTACCTTTAATTACCCAAAATAATACTTTAAAGAGCAAGAGTACCATGTTACAAAATAAGAGCTATAAACTATTATTTATTTATAATTGAAATAATAGTTGTTTGGTTGAGATCAGTATACATTTATTAAAACTTTAAGTTTAAA